GGAAATAATATTTTAACGCAGTTGAAATGTTACTGATAAATCCATGTACAGATGTTGAGATAAATACACAGACGCTGAAAACATAACCTCGTCCTGAAGCTGGTTTTAGTCTCAGGATTCTTCTTCTGTCCAGTTCTACAACCTTCCAGTGACTTCTCACGGAAGACGACAGGAGAAACTCTCTGTTTGTATTTACTGAAACAACACGGCAGCTTGAGGCAGAGGCCCTGATGGATTCTCTCACGCAGACGAGGCCGGCCTCCTTCCCAGGGATCCTCCAGGACGGAGCAGGTGAAGGTCAGAAGAGAGCGAGGAGCTTTGCTTTGTGACTCAGCTCTCTGCTCGACCAATAAGATCAATACAACTTCCACCGGAGCTATGTGCACGTAACGTGCAGCGAGGACACGGCGAGGGCGAAATAAAGCATCATGAATGATTTATGAATAAAACCTCACTTTTGTTGAACTGGAGAATGAACATGTTTTGCTGAAAGGAAAATAAATCTACAAGTAAAATCTAAGTTGTGCAGATAAAACAGGAAAACATCATCACTGCTTCTTCACCCGTCCTCCATCGACCCCCAGTTTCTTTGAGAAGTGCTTATCAGAGCCTGTTGACCTACAGACCTCAGTCATTGTCTCGCTCCGTCTCACATCAGCGACCACTTGACCCTGAATGTTCTCTGGCCTTCGTCCTGAGAGGCAACATCCTGACTGCGAGGGTGAAGCTGGACGCTGAGATTTGCAGGAGGTTCTCAGGTTAAGTAGCAATCAAACGGTGAGAAGAGGAGAGTTTATAATAACACAGACGACATCGAGACAAAAGAAACAGCAGACAAAGATTTAAATCAGATTCAAAAGGACAAAACAGAAGATTTAAAACACAAGCTCAAAGTGATGGAGCATAGAAACAAGTGACGAGCAGGAGATGAAGTGATCTGAGAGAACCAAGGAAATGACCAATACAAACTGGACACATACATATACACAGATCCAAACAGGTACAAAGTCTTTTTATACTTTACTACAGTAAAAGTACCAGCTTTGACAAGTGTTTATCTAATGTACTGGATTATTTTTGGTGTGACTTATGACCCATGCTGCAGCCCACCACTAGGTGGCTTCACTTGTACGAGTTATTATGTCGTACATCAAAATCTGAAATTAGAGATAATTCGATTTTTTTATTTAAAACATTTTTTCCGACTTTTAATATGATGTTTCTTTGTTTGTCTACTAAATAATAAAGATCAATGATAAACAATGACACAGTTTGTCCACCAGAGAGCAGTGACAACTCCAGGGTTACGCTCGGCTATAAAGTGAGGCGGACGCTGAGGCCTCGATCTCAGTCGGAACAATTTATAACTTTAAAACTAGTGAGTACGTGAAACACGTGAGTTTAAAAAATACTTCTTTGTTTCCTGAAAATAACAAAATAACAATAATAATCAGTTACACAGTTTGTCCACCAGAGAGCAGCGACAAGCTCATTTACACGAAAAGATTCTGTTCTTTAAACTGAATAAATTATAAAACTGTTTTCAATCAATCATCAGTAATGAATAATCAGTCTTCAATAAATTATATCATGAACAATGTTGTACTGATAAAATGATAAAATGAAGAGTTCCTTCAGGGTGAGACTTAGGGGGGAGGAGGGAGTGAGGGATGGGGGGGCAGAGGGAGAGACAGAGAGGAGGGGGCAGAGAGAGAGAGAGAGAGAGGGAGGGAGCAGTATAAAAGCTGGAGTCAGACTTGAGCAGCTCTGAACTTGTGTGGAGACACTGAGGATTAAAACATTTTATTCTAAGAATCATTCTTCTTCTTCTGAGGTTTGGTTTTGAGGGGAATCGGACTCACGGACTGTGGATGATGATGATGATGGTGGTGATGATGATGATGGAGAAGCTGCTCTGCGCTCCATCAGCTCCTCTTCCTCCCCTGGATGTTTAAGTTGATGACAGAGTGAGGAAGATGCTGCGGGTGGATGAGTGAGGAAGATGAAGAAGAGGAGGCTGAAAGGCGTCAGTAGGGAAACACCTGTGGTCTGAGTGTCGGGGGATGGCGGGTGTTCGCGGAGCAGAAGCGGTGGATGGATGCGTGATGACGGGTTTCAGCGCCGTGTCCTTCCAGCTCCATGTCAGGCGGGTGTGACGCGCAGAGCTGGAGGGATGGATGATGCCGGTCCGCTCAGAGAGCTGCTCAACATCTCCACCAACGACACCCAGGGGAATTTCACGGCCAAGGCGGAGGAGAAGGACTCGAACCTGGCGTTCCAGGCGGGTGTGGCGGTCACCTTAGCGCTCATCACTTTCGCCACGACGCTCTCCAACGCGTTCGTCATCGCCACCATTTACCAGTCCCGAAAATTACACACCCCGGCGAACTTTCTCATCGCCTCCCTGGCGCTCACCGACCTGCTGGTGTCCATCCTGGTGATGCCCATCAGCGCGCTGTACACGGTGAGCCAGACCTGGACTCTGGGGCAGGTGGTGTGCGACATCTGGCTCTCCTCGGACATAACGTGCTGCACCGCCTCCATCCTCCACCTGTGCGTAATTGCGCTGGACCGCTACTGGGCCATCACGGACGCGGTGGAGTACTCCAAGAAGCGCACGCCGGGGCGCGCAGCCGGGATGATCGCCACCGCCTGGGTGATCGCCATCTCCATCTCCCTGCCGCCCTTCTTCTGGCGCCAGGTGAAGGCGGAGGAGGTGACGAGCTGCAACGTGAACACGGACCACATCTTCTACACCATCTACTCCACCTTCGGCGCCTTCTACATCCCCACGCTGCTGCTCATCGCCCTGTACGGGAGGATCTACGTGGAAGCCCGAAAGCGCATCCTGAAGCAGTCGCACAACAAGCCGGGGAAGAGGCTCACCTCCGCGCACCTCATCACCAACTCCCCCGGCTCGGTGGCGTCCACCACGTCCCTGAACTACGGCACCAACGACGCCTCCTCCTGTGACACTACCTCCTCCTCCGCGAACGTGAGCCAAGTCAAAGTCACTGTGTCCGACGCGCTGCTGGAGAAGAAGCGCATCTCCGCCGCCAGGGAGAGGAAGGCCACCAAGACTCTGGGCATCATCCTCGGAGCCTACATCATCTGCTGGCTCCCCTTCTTCATCTACACGCTCCTAGTGCCTGTGTGCGAGTCCTGCTTCCACCCGGAGCTGTTCGACATCTTCACCTGGCTGGGTTACCTCAACTCCCTCATCAACCCCATCATCTACACCATGTCCAACGAGGACTTCAAGCAGGCCTTCCACAAACTCATCCGGTTCAGGTGCTGCAGGGCATGAAGGGCCATCACCAGCCACCACACACACACACACACACACACA